TTGAAACTTTCCCAAGAAATGCCCAACAACTTTTTTGAAAAGAAAGCTCGATAAGTTTTTACTTCTATAAATATGGCAACCCTATGTTGGGAGCCAGCCAGAGTGGCTGGGTGGCATACAAATAATGTTGTTGTTGTTGTTGCAGCACTGAAGCAGTTGTCCTGGGTCTTGATCTCATGGGTCAGGGAAAACCTGGATGAAAACCTGCCCCTTTCCAAGGCATCTGAAGCAACGGGTGGTTGCTGCTTCGCATATGGCAGAGGGAAGGGCATCGCACAGCGCATGGGCAATGGAAGAGTGGAATCATAAATTTATTATTTATTTATTTATTTTTTTAAAAATCTGTATAATTGGCTAAAGTGTGGTAATATGGGGTAAATATAGGAAGACTAATAATTTGTTGTTGTTTTTTTTAAAAAAAGGAAGAATGGAATAAATAAATAAATTGTAGAGTTGGAAGGGACCTCAAGGGTCATGTAGTCCAGCCCTCTGCAATGCAGGAATCTCAGCTCTAAAGCATCCATGCAGGGCCTGCAAGACGGAGCTGTTCCGCCAGGCCTTTGGTTGGGGTTCAGTCTGATTCTTTTCTTTCTGTAAAAGAACAAGCATTCAAGAGGCCTCCTAGCCTACTCACAGGTCCTTTATAAGACTAGTGGTAACAGCTGGACCTGGAAAATATGAACCACTCTCAGTTTTACCCGTGGACTGCCATCTGTCCAGATTTTCATTTGTTCTGAACTAATTTTAAGATGTGTTTTAATTAATTGATTGCCTGGTTTTATGTTCTTTGTATACTGTGTTAGTTTTATGATGTTAGCCGCCCTGAGCCCAGCTCTGGCCGGGGAGGGGGGGGTACAAATAAAAATTTATTATTCTTTATTATTATGACAGATGGTCACCCAACCTCTGCTTAAAAACCATCTTTCTCCATCTTAGATATTTGAAGATGGCTGTCATCTCTCCTCTTAGTGTCCTTGGTCTGATCAAGGCACAATGTTGTTGTTTAGTCGTTTAATCATGCCCGACTCTTTGTGACCCCCTGGACCAGAGCACGCCAGGCACTCCTGTCTTCCACTGCCTCCCGCAGTTTGGTCAAACTCATGCTGGTAGCTTCAAGAACACTATCCAACCATCTCATCCTCTGTCGTCCCCTTCTCCTTGTGCCCTCCATTTTCCCCAACATCAGGGTCTTTTCCAGGGAGTCTTCTCTTCTCATGAGGTGGCCAAAGTCTTGGAGCCTCAGCTTCAGGATCTGTCCTCCCAGTGAGCACTCAGGGCTGATTTCCTTCAGAATGGAGAGGTTTGATCTTCTTGCAGTCCATGGGACTCTAAGAGTCTCCTCCAGCACCATAATTCAAAAGCATCCATTCTTCGGCGATCAGCCTTCTTTATCGTCCAGCTCTCACTTCCATACATCAGTACTGGGAAAACCATAGCTTTAACTATAGGGGCCTTTGTTGGCAAGGTGATGTCTCTGCTTTTTAAGATGCTGTCTAGGTTTGTCATTGCTTTTCTCCCATGAAGCAGGCATCTTTAGAGTGGCCAATTACTTCCCTTGATCTGGCCACTAGACTTCTCTTCATGCAGCCTAGATCAGCATTCCCTCTGTTAACAGGCAGGAGTACCTCTGAGCATATGCAGAGTGCATATTCCCGCTCCCAAGCAACCATAGCTTGGACTCCCCCCGCCCTGACATACCTGGGCTTAAGGGGGGGTTAAAGTTTCCATAGCAAAGGGCTTTCAAGTACCTTTGAGCTCCGGCACCTCTTATCTCCGAAAAATGAAAACAACATGTAATTGTATAATTATTCCCGATCTCCCTGGGCACACACTTAGTGGGCTGGGTGCATTTCTTATTTAAACCCAGTCTCTATAGCAGCGGCGGAACCGCATTAGTCGTGGGAGATGAGAGGAGCTGTCGAAGGAAGTTGAGAGTGACTGAATCACATCGCAGGTCGAAATGGCTTAGAACCAGCGTGGCAACCCACAAAGAAGGCTGATCGCAGAAGAATTGATGCTTTTGAATTATGGTGCTGGAGGAGACTCTTGAGAGTCCCATGGACTGCAAGAAGATCAAACCGATCCATTCTTAAGGAAATCAGCCCTGAGTGCTCACTGGAAGGACAGATCCTGAAGCTGAGGCTCCAATACTTTGGCCACTACATGAGAAGAGAAGACTCCCTGGAAAAGACCCTGATGTTGGGGAAGATGGAGGGCACAAGGAGAAGGGGACGACAGACAGAGGATGAGATGGTTGGACAGTGTTCTCGAAGCTACCAGCATGAGTTTGACCAAACTGCGGGAGGCAGTGGAAGACAGGAGTGCCTGGCGTGCTCTGGTCCATGGGGTCACGAAGAGTCGGACACGACTAAACAACAAAAGCATTGCAAACACAGGGGCCTGGATCCGGTGGCCTGCCAGCCCCCCATCTTTCTTCCCATCAGGTGAATGCAACAGAACAACCACCCCATTGCCTCACTGGGAAGGTTTAAACCCTTTCTGAATTCATTGAATCCTTGGAAGTTGCCCTTGACTCCACCCAGATTCATAGGAATGTAAATTAAATAAAGCCAAGGAACAATTGTCATTGATTTATTATCAACCACTGTGATTAGGTGTGTAAAAATAAGGAAATTACTATTGAATTGTGGAATCGTCTCATTAAATACAGAGTTTCCTCATTGGCCAAGGAAGTGCCCTCTGTACAAGGCCATCCTCTTTAGTGCAAAAGCTCAGACTTCCTGGTTATTATTTTTTTACACTGTACCTTGCAAACTTCTTTTTCGATATTTAGTCATCCCCTGCACAGTCCTGCTGACCCCAAGAAGATCAATATTGACTCCTTTGGGAAACCCTGAACGGCAACAGGGGAATCAGGACAAAGCAATTTCCATGGGGCAGAATTCGCACACATCACACCCCAAATGTGCATTCACCTTCAATAGACTGGGTCCATCATGTCTAACCGCCAATTACATATGCTCTTCGCCTCCCCCACAAATTCGTTTCATCTCTTTTAACAGCCACCTTTTAAAGCTTCGCTTTGTTTTTAATATGGCGTTTTGTTGTGTTTTTCCATTTTGCTGGAAGAGGCCCGAGTGGCTGGGGAAACCCAGCCAGATTGGTGGGGTATCAATAATAAAATTGTTATTATTATTACTTGTGGCAGGGAGTTCCATACACTAAGGAAATACTGTGTGAAGAAAGGCTTGAGCTTCTGCCACTTAATATTATTGGGCCATCCACAAAGTTCTACTATTATGAGAGAAGGGCGAAAAGCTGTTTATAATCATAGACTCATGGAGTTGTAGAGTTGGAAGGGACCCTGAGGGTCATCTAGTCCAACCCCCTGCAGTGCAGGAATCTCATCTAAAGCATCCATGACACATGGCCATCCAACCTGCTTAAGGCGACATTTTTCCACCTTCACCGCATCAAGCAGCTGGTCCCTTACCTTTCCTGCCCCAACCTGGCCACTGTGATCCATGCGACGGTCACCTCCAGGCTTGACTACTGTAATTCGCTCTACGCAGGGCTGCCCTTGAAGCTGTCCCAGAAACTCCAGTGGGTGCAGAATGCTGCAGCGAGGCTCCTCACGGGGTCTCTGCCATGGGAGCATATTCACCCAGTGCTATATCAGCTGCACTGGCTCCCGGTGGAGTATAGGGTCAGGTTTAAGGTGCTGGTTTTGACCTTTAAAGCCCTTCACGGCCTAGCACCCTCGTACCTACGGGACCACCTCTCCTGGTATGCCCCACGGAGGACCTTAAGGTCCATAAATAGCAACACCCTAGTGGCCCCGGGCCCTAAGGAAGTCAGATTAGCCTCAACCAGAGCCAGGGCCTTCTCAACTCTGGCTCCAGTCTGGTGGAACGCTCTGCCTTATGAGACCAGGGCCCTGCAGGATCTGATTTCTTTCCGCAGGGCCTGTAAGACAGAGTTGTTGTGCCTGGCCTTTGGCTTGGAATCAATTTGATTCCCTCCCCCTCTTTCTTTTTTCCTTTCTCCCCCTGTGAAGAGGCTGCATCTTAATGTTTTAATGTTGTATTTTAATCTTGTTTTTTAAGTTGTATTTTAATCAACTTGTTTTTATTATTGGTTATTAGCCACCCTGAGCTCGGTCTTGGCTGGGGAAGGCGGGGTATAAGTAAATTTTATTATTATTATTATCATCATTATTATTAACCTCCAAGGAAGGAGAGTCCACAATTTCCTGAGTTATCATATCTACTCTCTGTCTCCTCTTTTCCAGGCTAAACATATCCAGCTCCTTCAGCTGTTCCTCATAAGGCTTGGTTTCCAGACCCTTGACCATCTCAGTCCCCCTCCTCTGCACATCTTCCAGCCTGTCAACATCCTTCTTAAATTGTGGTACCCAGAATTGGACACAGTATTCCAGGTGTGGTCTGACCAAGGCAGAATAGGGTGGTATTATTACTTCCCTTGATCTGGACACCAGACTTCTGTTGATGCAGCCTGGAATAGTATTCGCTTTTTTTGTTGCTGCATCACACTGTGGACTCATGTTCAACTTGTGGTCCACCAAGATCCCTAGATCCTTTCCACATGCACTGCTGTCAAGCCAGGTCTCCCCAATTTCATATTTGTGCATTTGGTTCTTCCTGCCCAAGTGCAGAACCTTACATTTCTCCCTATTAAAATTCATTTTGTTAGGTTGAGCCCAGTTCTCCAATCTGTCAATTGATGAATGTGGGTTCACTTTCCCAATTGGAGGAAACGCTTCATTACTTCCAACTTCTAACCGGTGCACAGAAAAAAAGCAATCCGCGCAAAATGGGACAATAAAACGTGTCAAAAAATAAAAATGCCATCAAACCCAAACATCTCCCCCATCACGTGCGGACCAGCCCCGACCCTTCCTCCAAGCCTTGGAGCGCTGCAGTGCGGGAAGAGTTAAAAAGGGCAGGCGATCCACCCTCCTCCCGGATCCTGCTCTCCGATTGGCTGAGGCTGTGACAAGAGGGGCGTGGCCAGGGGGTTGGCTGCCGTTTGCCGCAAGAAAAGGGGCAAGATGCGTGTCTGCGAGTGCGCGCGTGTGTATCGGTGACGCTGGCCGGGATGCGAGCCGCCAGCCCGCTCGCCTGCAGCGCCGCTCGCCTCCTTCCTTGCAAAGGCTCCGCGATGCGCCGGATGGCCGCCTGAGCGCACGCTCTGAATTCGCCCCCCGTGCAATTGGTCGGAGGTCGTCGTTTTCGGTTGCATTTCATTTTTGAACTCCAAGCACCTTCCCCGTCGCGGTGCATGCTTCTCTCCTGCATCCCGAGCCGCCGCCGCCAAAAAAAGAGAGGATTAAAAAACGGACGCCTCCCGGCTGAAGGAGCTGCTGCGCGCCCAGGGCGCATCGCCTGCGTTCCTGCAAAGAGTAAGGGCACAGCGGGGAGGAGGAGAGGTAGCTCTTGCCTACACGCCCGGGAGGGATTTGGGGAGGGGGCGCAGGAGGAGGGAGAGAGGGAGGCGTCGCCACACACTTGGACCGGGGGGGGGGGGTTGCTTGCATGGTGGTGGAAGACTGGTTACGTTTGCACGCGCTACCTTTTTTTCCCCCTTTTGCAAAATCGCTCAGGGTTGAGGGAATCGGTGCGCGAAGAGGATTCTGTGGGAGGACGGGGAGCGTGTGCAGATATGGTTGCAATTAAAATGTGGTGCACGGCGGAGATGCGGGGGTCCTCCGAAATAAGCCCCGCCACCTCTTCCGATTTATTTTCTGCTTAATTAGTTTAGTTTGCCTTCCCCCACCTAACCATGAGCTTGGAGACCTCTGCTTCTTGCAATATAATCTGACGCGCCGCGGGGAAATGCAAGGGGATGCATACCCGTTGCAAACGTGTGCATTGCTCCAGAATAAAATATTTCCACCAATTTCTTCTTTTTGGTCATCTGGGGCGGGGGTATAGCCTCTTCGCTTGCTTTCCTCCACACCCCCCCCCCCGCCTTGCAATGTTGAAGAAGCAGCCACCCATTGATAAAGGATGTGCGTGCGTTTGTGTAACTAAAACCATAAAACCCCTTGCAGGTATGATCAGGGATGGTTGGCGTTAGGGTTGGGTTGTGTGTGTGTGTGTGTGTGTGGTTTTCTCTTTTTTTTAAGATGATGTCATAAATGGGGTGTCATCCAGAGCGCGAGGTGAGGTGCTGGCGTTTGGGTGATGAACAGGGGATGGCTGCAAATTATGTCATCTGCTTTTCTGGATGCTACTGCTGCGTGCCATTTCGCTGGCAAACTAGACGGGGGGGGAGGGAAGCAGCTCCCCCCCCCTTTTAGGCTAAGCCAAGGTGTAGAAACTGGGAGAGAGGGGTTCGAAATGGCTAAATAATGCCCCTTGGTTTGTTGGTTTTTTAAATGTCGGTAGCATTATAGCTGCAAAGCAAGGATGGCCATAAACTCCCGGTAAACGTGACATGTTGTCCAGCTGAGCAGAAGGATTAAATGTCCTCTTCCTCCGTGTGTGTGTTTCAAAGAGGAAACATTTTTTGCTTGCTATAACCCTCCTCACATCGTTTTGGGCTCCCTATACGCATGGATATATTATTCTGTGATGATCAGGTCTCTGGCTGTGCATGGATCACCGAACTCGCCAGAGACCTCTCTCGTTTCTTGAAGATGGAGCCTTGGTTTTGTGGTTGTGTTTTTTTAAAAGCGGATTTCATTTCAGTCCTGTTGTGGACGGATCCTTAAAAAAATGATGATAATCCAGATCCTGCGAATTTGGCACATCCTTTATTTGGGGCATCTGAAATCCACCCGGTCCATAACCTTCCTTCTCCCCGCAAAGGTTTCCTAAAATAGAGAGCGAGGGAGAGGAGATTACACATCGCATCTCTTCGGGGGAGAGCCATCCAGCAAAGGTAGCTGGGTAGACCTGTACTATTAGGGGACAATATTGAGTGTGTGTCTGTGGGACACACAACACACACACACACACACACACACACACACACACCCAAGTGGCTTTGGTCTGCTGAAGCATTCGCTCATTACTGCTCATCTCTAGAGTTGGCCCGGTGCATAACTGGGTCATTGTGCATGCAAATTTCTCCCTCTCTCTCTCTCGCACACATATATAATTATTATATCCTGAAGCTGGATTTCTGAGTTGCTTTAGGAAGGCATTTTTCTGCTCTCTTCTCCCCCCCCCCTTCTCCCTAGTAGAGAGCTCAGGGAGCCCTTAGCTGCAGTGCAGTGGAGATAAGGGAGAGAGCTGGGGAGCGTTCTCTCCCCATCCTTTGCTGCCCCTTTGCAACCCTGCACTCGGGCTTATTTTCACGCTGGCTCGGTTGGGCATGATGTAAGCACGTTGGCAGGATTTCACACACATGCATGCACGCACATCCATGTCGTCTTTCACACTCCAGCAAAAGCTTTGATCTCCCGGTCGCTGGCATGAGAGAGGAGAGCGAGAGAGCGAAAGGTTTCTTCCTGGTGATTGGTCGAAGGAGCGGCTTTCCACCAGATCTGTGGTGTAGCTGTTCTTGTGAAAGGCGTCACTGTTGATTCAGGCAAAGGTGGCCTTTCTCTGAAATGAGTCTCTGCCCCGCTCAGGATGCTCTCAGTCTGCATTTCCACAGTGGGAGACGCCGGAGGAGGAGGAAAAGCAAGACTAACAGGTGAATGTAGGGGCCCAGATTTTGGAATAAACACCTGTGATAGACTCACGGAATTGTAGGATTGTGGTGTCGGGAAGGGATCCAAAGCGTCGTCTAGGCCAACCCCCCGCGATGCAGGAATCACAGCTAAATAATCCCTCAGGTGGCCATCCAATCTCTAATCAAAGGAAGTAGAGAACGGGGCCTTCTCTGCAGTGGCTCCCTGTCTGCGGAATGCAGACGCTTCAGGTTACAGACTCCGCTAACCCAGAAATATTACCTCGGGTTAAGAACTTTGCTTCAGGATGAGAACAGAAATCGTGCTCTGGCGGCGCAGCAGCAGCAGGAGGCCCCATTAACTAAAATGGTGCTTCAGCTTAAGAACAGTTTCAAGTTAAGAACGGACCTCTAGAACGAATTAAGTTCTCAACCAGAGGTACCACTGTACTGCTACTACTCTCTCAGACACTCTCTCTTTCTCTATTTCTTTATATAATTTTTATTAAAGTTTCTGTTTTGCAATTTAAAATACTCCTTTTACATCCTTAAAATAGCAGTGATTTCCATTCTTCTCTTTCTATGGTTCATTTTACATATCATAAATCCCTGCATATTTTACAAAAACTATACCATTCAGTATTCCACTTTTGCATCCATCAAAACTTATTTCCACTGTTGAATTTATCTTAATGCTGCCAGCGTTCTCCCCTCCGTGTGTGTAGTACTCTAAAACTGGAAAGGAATCGCTTTCAGTTGCTTCCCAGAACATAAGGTGTATCGGTCAGTTGTACTAAAAATAATAACTCTCTGTAGATATATTATTTATCTTTTGCATTTATATCCCACCTTTCCTCCAAGGTGGCGACGTACATACTTCTCCTCCCTGTTTTATCCTCCTAAACAACAACCCTGTTGGTAGGCTGAGAATGAGTGACCGGTCCAAGGTCACCCGGTGAACTTCATGGCTGAATGGGGATTTGAACCCTCCTCCTCCAGGTCCTGGTCCAGCACTCCAGCTGCTACACCACAGAGTAACCTCATCACGTCCAGTGAGGTTTACTTCTGAGCAGATGTGCATGTTGTTTGTTGTTGTTTAGTCGTGTCCGACTCTTCGTGACCCCCTGGACCAGAGCACGCCAGGCACTCCTGTCTTCCACTGCCCCCCGCAGTTTGGGCAAACTCATGTTGGTAGCTTCAAGAACACTGTCCCACCATCTCGTCCTCTGTCGTCCCCTTCTCCTTGTGCCCTCCATCTTTCCCAACATCAGGGTCTTTTCCAGGGAGTCTTCTCTTCTCATGAGGTGGCCCAAGTCTTGGAGCCTCAGCTTCAGGATCTGTCCTTCCAGTGAGCACTCAGGGCTGATTTCCTTAAGAATGGATCGGTTTGATCTTCTTGCAGTCCATGGGACTCTCAAGAGTCTCCTCCAGCACCAGAATTCAAAAGCATCCATTCTTTGGCGATCAGCCTTCTTTATGGTCCAGCTCTCACTTCCATACATCACTACTGGGAAAACCATAGCTTTAACCATACAGTGGTACCTCGGGTTACAGACCCTTCAGGTTACAGACCCTTCAGGTTACAGGCTCCACTAACCCAGAAATAGTACTTCGGGTTAAGAACTTTGCTTCAGGATGAGAACAGAAATCATGTGGTGGCAGCGAGAGACCCCATTAGCTAAAGTGGTGCTTCAGGTTAAGAACAGTTTGAGGTTAAGAACGAACCTCTGGAACGAATTAAGTTCTTAACCCGAGGTGCCACTGTACGGACCTTTGTCGGCAAGGTGATGTCTATGCTTTTTAAGATGCTGTCTAGGTTTGTCATTGCTTTTCTCCCAAGAAGCAGGCGTCTTTTAATTTTGTGACTGCTGTCACTAATAGGATTGGGAATTCCAATCCGAGGTCACCATTGTGAAAATGGACACAGGCCAGTCTCTATTCTAGATTAGGGAAGAGGGATAGATCTGATTCACTTCCGGTCTGACTGTGAACCTACTTAAACCACCATTTCTGAAACAGTGCAAGAACTGAAAGGCAGTTGTCCTTCAAAAACCGATCAGGTACTCAGGAGAGGAGTTCAGGGAACCCCTGACCATTAGGTCCAGTCGTGGCCGACTCTGGGGTTGCGGCGCTCATCTTGCTTTATTGGCCGAGGGAGCCGGAGTACAGCTTCCGGGTCATGTGGCCAGCATGACTAAGCCGCTTCTGGCGAACTAGAGCAGCGCACGGAAACGCCGTTTACCTTCCCGCCGGAGCGGTACCTATTTATCTACTTGCACTTTGACATGCTTTCAAACTGCTAGGTTGGCAGGAGCAGGGACTGAGCAACAGGAGCTCACCCCGTCGTGGGGATTTGAACCGCCAACCTTCTGATCGGCAAGCCCTAGGCTCTGTGGTTTAGTCCACAGCGCCACCCGCGTCCCTTTTGGCTCCACATAGCCCCATGCTTATTTCAGACATTGTGGTATTTCAGCATATGACGATCTTTAGCTGGTGATATGTCACAATGTTGAAAACCAGACATCGCTCAGCCCTGGCGGGCAGGTGGTGCTTCCAAAAGATATTTCTTCTGCCCTTCTGATCACTTTTCCGGGGCTTTCCAAAGGCTCCAACTGGAGCATGGGATCTGTCTGAATGCCCCATGCAAGCATCAAAAGGCTTTCAGATAGCACTGGGAACTCCAGTAATCAGGATATCAGAGCTCAACATCACCTGATGTCAAGGTGACACCATGTGATGATTGACAATCCTGCCCACATGCCAAATCTGGTCCTCCAGGTG